ATCTGCTCAGCATGGGCATTGCTACAAATTCTGGGGGCCTTTAAATAATGTATCTTGTGCCCCCTTCTTTAGCTGTGGGCACCTAGAATCTTCAGCTGCTGTCACTGCCACTGCCACTTACAGCTAGGATGTATTATTATGCTATCTTCTGTGTAATGTATGTTTCTGTTCAGGGTTAAACCCATAAATCTAGCATAATGCTACTGCTGTCGATATCACATTTTAAAAATCACCCCTAAAAACCACCACCCTTGCCCAAGTAACCGCAAACTCCTCAGTCAGGCAGCTGAAGGGTCGCTGTAGCTTGTTATTCTGCTTATAAGACAAGGCTGCTCAGACTTTGTGGAAGTCACAGCCACCATGGCAAGAAGTGGCTGATCTTCCTCATTAAACAGCAACGGTCACAAAACACCTGGATCCCATGTTGATTGAGCCAGGCCTTTAACTTCCCAGCAACCCAGAGCTATCCTCCTCTGCCTGTCATACATCAAATACCTTGGTCTCCTGGAGTACAGCTGTGTCCTAGAGCGTGCTATGGACTGCTTAATTCTTAACTGGCCTCTCAGTGAATCTGAATACCTCCAAGGAAGACACAGAATTTCTTATTAACTTAATCCCTCCTTAAGACCATGGACCTTGACCAGTTTTAAAACTCAACCGGGCCCAGGTGATTAATCTCTCAGGACCCTTGAGGATCCATCTGCATTTAGACGCTGATGTTGTTATTGTCAAGCCATCAATGGAGCTGTGGAACACCAGACATGGTGACAGAGTCTCTATACTTCACATTTGCTGATTCGACAACCATGTTCATGGCAAACAGGATCACTGAAATGGTGCATTCAGAAATGATCCCCTTCTCCAGCTGGTGCCAAGCTTATGTTGCTTGGCATAACAAGAGCCTGGGGCACCTCTTGTAGACCTTAAGAGGGCCTGGGGCTGAGCTTGTTTTAGCTTCACTTCAAGGCTCCCTGGTTTGAACTGTGGCATTTGTTCTGGCATGAAAGCCCTTCAGTCCCCCAGGTCTTGGTCTCTGCATCCAGCCCAGTCCCTTTACTGAATTCAAACCCAGGCTCCTGTGGTAACTCAGCCTTGATATGTGGTACTGGCTCTACCTTGTGAGCTACTGGGGAGCCTCATTTACTGCTTCTGAATGCCAAACCCCTCAGCAGCAGTGTTGACAATGATGGTTGACATTGACTGGCACTTCTGATCTGCATCACTTCTGGCTGTGCTTCTAGGATCCCGTCCATATCCTCATTTGTAATCCCTTATTTGTTAGCTGCTGGCCCCTTGCCCTTTCAGTGTTCAGAACCGCCCTGGCGTGGAGCTTGCAGTACACAAAGGTTCTGGTCACTGTAGGGGGACTCCTGTGTGGCAACTCCTGTATCTCATAAAGATAACAACTGGTCTGGTCTGGTGGATCTTCAGGCCACATGGGTTTTTGCAGACGTCACACAACTGGACTATTTAGCACATAGTCTTGACTGGAGAATCTTTCCCCAAATTGTAAATCTCTTCTTCAGGGAGGTCAGGTCACCAAGAATGGAGAGGGATACAGTGACAATTACAGTTTCTCTAACCACTTGCTCATGCTGATGCTAACAGAAAATCCTCTCAAGTTGACATAATCATTCAACTGAGTGATCATTTAATCCTCTGTCTTTCAGACCAACCGCACTCATGCCATCTACTCCAACAGTTTATCTATCTACCCAATAAGAAATGGGTCCTTCGTCGTTCCTGTGAGTCTTCCTTTCTCTTGTGCTTATCCCCTGGACACAAACGCAAGCCTGAATGTGGCTGTCAGACCATTCCTGCCGTAAGTAGCCTTTTACTGAATGTAACCAATTTTATGATAATAAAGTTCCTGATGACATCACATCACAAAAATTATGGCAAATCTGGTGAAAATTGGTCTAGTATATTTGTTGCATACATTGCTGTCTAACAGTGTCTTTTTTGATATAACCACTAGGAGTCACTAAAGTCAGTCATTTTCAAATCCTCCACACAGAAGCTTAGATAGAGTGAAATTCTTTCGATCTTGCTGATCAGCATTGTTGTAACACACAGATAAATACATCTGCAAATTAGAAAGCAAGGCCTTATAGATCCTAGTCTAGATGTCCGTGATGACTATCCAACTGTTTCATATAATTCACAGTGGCAAGTGATATATAAGTGTGCTATTTTAATCCTGTTTTAGTCTAATGATGAATCCAATAATCTAGTGCCAGTGGAGACAGCATAAGCGTGCCCTCTATAATTCAGTATAAATAATATGGTGTATGGTATGTATCCATCCTAGTTAACAGTTAGTCCCCTGATTATGGCATGAAGCACCACAACAGTACAGAAACCTTAGGCACCACAGCGAGGATGTACCTGAAGACACCAGAGGGATGGTTATGCTATCTAGCTGATATACAATGAAAAGAACATTTTAAGTAGTTGCCATTTGTTTGTATCTGAATGAAAGAAACAGCTTTAATCAAAGAGAAATGTCAAGACCTTTCTGGGATAAAAAAAATAAAGCAATAAAAAAAAGCCATAACAAAAAAGCATATTTTCTTGACAGGCTGGAAAGTGGCCTTTCAGGCTCGGGATCCAAAGCTAGAGCCTCCATGTCTCTGTTCCACAACTCCAGCTACACTGAGACTTATCCAGCAGGCCAGGTCATCCTGCCAGTGGGGTCACCGTTGTACGTGGGCGTTTCTGTGGAGGAGAGAGATCCACGCTTTGCAGTCGTTCTGGAAGACTGCCATGCCACTCACTCATCAAACCCTGACGACCCCATGAGATACTATCTCATCCAGAACAAGTAAGTGTCCCTCTAGAGCACCAGCAGATGGTTTGTGGAGGATAATATAAATGGGAAAAAGTTAAATGTATAGAGATGTGTAATAGCCCTGATGACCCTCTCCATCCTCTCTGCCAGGTGTCCCACTGACCGCCAACAGGTGTCAGTGACTGAGAGCGGCTCGTCCCTGCAAGCTCGTTTCTCTGCCCTGTCGTTCCTGCTCCAGAATGAATACCGAGACATTTTCCTTCATTGCAGCCTCAGCCTGTGTGACCAAAGGAGCTTCTCCTGTGTTCCAGTAAGTCACACATGTCACTTCAACAATAGCATTGTCAATCCATGTTCAATGCTGCTTAAACACTGGGATTTGATGGTATCTCTCTTTTTACACCCTCTCCCACCATGTAGCATTGCACAAGTAGGACGTACCGCTCTGTTTCCAGCTCTGATCCTTTGATGCCCCTCACCGTTGGACCAATCAGTTGTGAGTATAAATGATAATTTGGTCTCAGGGCCGATGTCTCAAAACAATGAACTATATGGAATTAATAACCATGTTTTTTCTCTTTTTTATTTATCTTTAGGGGACAAGTCACCTTCGGGAGCTGGTAACACACAGTTATAATACAAACACATTGCATATTGTGATTTTGTTTGGTTACTAAAAACCAAAAAAACCCATGGGGTTTAAAATAAAAATGATACCAAAAGCTACATTCTGCTGTGTTTATTTCTAGCACAGGTGTGATTTGACAGTGTGTGTGTATATATATATATATATATATATATATATATATATATATATGTATGTGTGTGTGATATAAAATCACTTTGTTTAAAAACAAAACCTTGAACCTTGATGGTGGAACATGCACTAGTCAACAACAAAATGTAAAACCAAATTGCAACTATGAGGTCTCAAACCAACTAAGCAAAATCTTGGGTGTTGATGTTGGGCTGAAACTGACTGAACAGTTTGGTGTGTCACATGCAGTTTTCATGCATAATAACCACAGAAGAAACCTTTTTCAAATCCTGTCCTTTTGTGCAAAAACATGTAGGCTACACTATATTGCCAAAAGTTTTGGGCCACCTGCCTTTACATGCACATGAAGTTTAATGACATCCCGTTCTTAACCCGTTTAATGCGGAGTTGGCCCACCCTTTGCAGCTAAAACAGCGTCAACTCTTCTGGGAAGGCTGTCCACAAGGTTTAGGAGTGTAGTCACAGGAATTTTTGACCATTCTAGAAGCACATTTGTGAGGTCAGGCACAGATGTTGGACGAGAAGGCCTGGCCTGGCCTCCAATTCATCTCAAAGGTGTTCTATCAGGTTGAGGTCAGGACTCTGTGCAGGCCAGTCAAGTTCTCCACACCAAACCCGCTCATCATGTCTTTATGGACCTTGCTTTGTGCACTGGTGCGCAGTCATGTTGGGACAGGAAGGAGCTATCCCCAAACTGTTTCCACAACTTTGGGAGCATGAAATTGTCCAAACTGTCTTGCTATGCTGAAGCATTAACTGTTACGGTGGGTGTGGGTTGGTGAGGCAGGGTTGAGCAGGTTGGAGGACCCAAACACAGGACACAGAGCAGGTATAGTTCAGTGGTTTAATTAAACAAACAAAAGGCGAGCACACCTACATACTGAGTGAGTCTATAAAAAGCCATAATGAGAAACTAAACCAAAATCCAACACAAGTAATCCAAAACACCAAGAGCAGAGACTAGAAAGACAAAATACATGACAAGACAGGAGCCACAACTGATAGGGAGTAACACCAACAATGACCAGACAAGGGCTGAACAGAAAGACCACACATATATACCAGGGATAACGAGCAGGGCGGGAGCAACACAGGTGACAGACATGAGGCTAACGAGGGAGGCAGAGAGACAGCAGGAAAACAGAGAGGCAGGCAGGCAGAGACAACAGGGGGTAACAGAGAGAACACTTAGACAAGCAGTCATGGGTGAATAACCAAGAATGCACAGGTACGAGCTAAACAGAACCAGTAAATGAACAAGGGAATACACAAGACAAAACCGGGAACACAAGAGCAGGAGTAAACACAAAAGATATTAACTAATGTACAGGACTAGGAACTAACTGAACAAGACTACACAGAGAAACACAGAACCAAAAACAGACTTAAACAGGAAAGACATGAACACAAAAACCACACTCCTAACATTAACAGTTCCTTTCACTGGAACTAAGGGGCCAAGTCCAACCCCTGAAAAACAACCCCAACCATAATTCCCCCTCCACCAGACTTTACACTTGGCACAATGCAGTCAGGGAATTACTGTTCTCCTGGCAACTGCCAAACCCAGACTCATCCATCGGATCGCCAGACAGAAGCGTGATTCGTTACTCCAGAGAACAGGTCTCCACTGCTCTAGTGTCCAGTGGCAGCGTGCTTTACACCACTGCAGCCAACGCTTTGCATTGCACTTTGTTATAATACAACTAACAGTTGACCATGGACTATATAGTGAGGAAATTTCATGAATGGACTTATTGCACAGGTAGTAACCTATCACAGTACCACGCTTCACTGAGCTCCTAAGAGCGACCCATTCTTTCAAAAATGTGTGTAGAAGCAGTCTGCATGCCTAGATGCTTGATTTTATACAAATGTGGCCATGGAAGTGGTTGGAACACCTGAATTCAATGATTCGGAGCGGTGTCCTAAAACATTTGGCAATATAGTGTATTTTATTAAACTGGATTACAGGCATGAAACCATGCCTGGCTAACTGCCACAGAATTATATTCAAACAGAAGTCCCTTTACTATCTGACATACTTATCACAATCAAAAAATTCTGTTTACTTTAAAATGTCGGAAGCATTTTTGACATTATTGACTCAGATCGGGCCTGCAACCTGATCAGGGTATCAGTTTCACCTGGGTTGTTTTGTTTCATGTGCACACAAACATGCTTATGTACAGTACTCACCAATAATAATAATAATCTTTATTTGTAGAGCACTTTTCAAAAACAAGTTACAAAGTGCTTTAACAAGTGTAAAGACAATAATACCCAAAAGACAATAATACAAAAAAAATACAAGATAAAAGCATGAAAACATTGAAAAGACTAAAATACATGTTTAAGATAAATATAAAATAAGTAAAATAGAATAAAATAAAAGGGATAAAATAAAGTCAAATAAAATCGGGAAAGGCTCTCCTATAAAAGTATGTTTTAAGAAGGGACTTAAAAGAGTTCACTGACTCAGCCGACCTGATTTCCTCGGGCAGGCTGTTCCAGAGCCTCGGGGCCCTGACAGCAGACGCTCTGTCCCCTTTAGTTTTCAGTCGAGACTCTGGAACAGACAACAGACTCTGCCCGAGGATCTCAAGGTACGTGCTGGTGTGTATGGGACTAAAAGTTCAGAAATATAACAAGGCGAGAGGCCATGAAGAGCTTTAAAAGTGATCAATAAAATGTTAAAGTCAATTCTAAAACATACTGGGAGCCAGTGTAATGAAGCTAAAATAGGAGTAATGTGGTCATATTTCTTTGTTCTGGTTAAAAGCCTGGCAGCTGAGTTCTGGACAGTCTGGAGTCGATCAATAAATTTTTGGGTTAAACAGGTAAAAAGGCTGTTGCAATAATCCAGGCGTGATGAGACGAAGGCGTGTAAAATGGTCTTGGTGTCCTTAAAAGTTAACATAGATCGAATTTTTGCTATATTTCTAAGTTGATAAAAACATGATTGAACAAGCTTTGTGGTGTGCTGCTCGAAATTTAAATTACAAACCAAACAAACCAAGCACCAAGGTTCTTAATGTGATTTACTAGGGAACCAGCAGATGGCAGTTTTGTCATCTTCTGGGATGCGATGACCAGGATTTCTGTTTTGTCTGAGTTCAGCAATATGTTTCTTCTAATATATATATTTTTTAACTTTGGTTGTTGATTGTGTAATCTGAGATGTGGCGTTCTGTTCTTATTCGTTTGATTGGTGAGAGCTGTCATATCCTCTTTTTATTTTTATTATATCGACATTAAAATATTCAAGTTTCAAAATAATTGGATCTGTCTCACATTAGATCATGTCCTGGGCACCATCTGTTATCACATGCATGTGAGCAGCGATATCCTCGTAGTCCATTTGCCATTTTTAGATATATAACGTATCAGCCTTGGTATTGATATTGTTCATCCTGGACCTGGTATCCGATCCACACCAGACTGTGTGGTGTTGACCACCACAGCTTTCACTTGCTTTCTGGTCTGGTGGGTGTGAGTGCAATAAATTCAAGCAACAAAATGTACACTCATATTTAACATGTCTTATTTAAAATAGTAACAAAGTGGTAAGTTAAATAAAGTGGTGAGTAACCATAGTGTTAGTGGTTGTTCACCTCCAGCTGAAGGTCACAGGATCCACTCCTGCTCTGCTCTCTAGGAAACTCATAATAATGGCCAGCGAATGCAGGGGGGCGTGGATTTCTAGCCACTTTTTGATTGACACGCCTAGCGCCCAATAGAAAGGCGTGCTGGCACAGAGGAGGCCGGGCATCGAGTGACCAATGTTTCCCAAACGGGTTTAGGGTTTAAGGCAGTTGGGGTTATTTTCCGCCCTGTGTTGCCCGTTTATATTATTTATCCGTCAACTTTTCTCTGCCGACAGCCGCCGTCATGTCCAACAACAATGCCAGCAACAACTTAATTGTCGCTCAAAGGGCCGTGAAGCAGCTCCGGTTAGAGGCCAGTGTCCGGAGGATAAAGGTACGAACATTGACACACAAACACGGAAGACAGAGACTAACGTTACTGTTGAATGGCGGAGACAAACTGTTGCAGAAATGACACCGACTGCACTCTCACATCATAGGCTCAACAAAGTGGTCTCCAAAGTCACACGCAGGCTGGTTTCTGGTGGACTTTTAAACCACGACTTCAAGTTTAAGTTACGTTTCAGGGAAGCGTATCCACTTTGACGCGTCATCGTATCGAGAGCAGTGACACGTTCATTAAAATCTCATAGTCTTCGTTTTCTAAAGGAAACAACGGGACAGTGTCTACTAAAAAGTTACACAGTGGAGGACACACCCGCCCGTGTAACGTTGTGGCGCTCTTGTAAATTTTACGCAAAACAGTGGCAGTAAGTGTGAGTATGCAGCTAAATGAGAGACTGGGTTTGACAGAGCATTACAGATACCGTACATGTGATTTGCTGCTATGTTTCGTCCCACACACGAATATTGTCTGGCTCTGCAGGTGTCCGTGGCTGCTGCTGAGCTGAGAAACTTCTGTCTGCAAAATGCCTCCAAGGACCCTCTCCTGGTCGGGGTCCCCTCTAGTGATAATCCCTTCAGACCCCCTAAGTCCTGCTCCCTGTTCTGAGGTAGGTCTGCTCGTCCCTCCACTGAGGCTGCAGGATGGTGAGTTAATATGTGCAGTTAATTACATTAGGGAAGAAATTAATTACACATTCACAGTTTACACTGAAACCAGTCTACTAAATTTAGGCAGGTGCTATAAAGTCCCACTAGAGAAGCAGTATAAAAGGTCTAATATTTCACATGTCTTGACTTTATTGAACCCTGCATACAGGTTTGGGGCTAGATTAATTAGCAAATTATTTTCTTGACTAACCATTTTGTCTATTAACAGCATTTGACCATCACAGGTTACCAATGTGACATCTCCAGATTGATCTTTTTGTCCAACTAACTGCCCACAACCTAAATATATTATATATTTACATGTAGTAAATATGATTTAAAATGAACAAATAGCCAAAACCTGACAATGGAGAAGCTGGTACAAGCACATGTTTGACATTTTTGCTTGAAAAACGACTCAAAAGATTAATAGACTATTAAAATAATTGCAGATTAAGTTTCCCTCAGTGGAATAAGAATGGGATAATTGACAAATTGTTTCAGCTCCAATTATGTTGCTAATTAGGCCGCTGGTTCTGTGCCTATTTATTTTATTGTGCTGTACTATGCTTTGACCTCTGCTATAATTTATTATTAATATAGATGCTTGACCACCTTGTGAAGGCAAAAGCAAGTTTAGACCTGTTGTGGATAAATTCTAATCTAATATCTAATTATACTTTTGTTACAAATACAACAATTAATCAATAAGTCAATTGACAGAAATTAATTGGCAACTATTTTAATAACTAATTGTATACATCATTTGTAAAGCAAAAGTGCCAAACATTTGATTGTTCCAGCTTCTGTGAGTTTAGTGCTTTATCTTTTAGCAGTCATTAGTCTTATCACACATGACTACAGTTCAGTGGCTTGGTCAAGTGCCTCCATAATTTAGATGCAAATATACGGCTCAGAACAAAGCACCATTCTGTGCATTTTGTCAATGTTTTTAAAACACACATGTTGGTGACTTGCATACAACTTTATCTTGACATGTCTGTTGTTATTCTACTTAAACATTTTAGAAATATTGTAAACCAGTCACCAAGTTGCTGGAAATCTTTCACAATTTTGTTCAGATTAACAAGATTACCATACTTGGCAAGCTGGTGTGGGTAAATCTAAATGACCATAACAATGAACAAAGTGCAGTGAAAAATGTACTGAGCCATGGTTTAATGGACTTCTGCATGTAATTTTAGAATATTATATAAATATTTATCATAAAATTAAATATACAGTTAGGTAATATATCAGTGCCACTTAAGTGTGGTGTTATAAATAGTTGTGACACACGAGATCCTTAGCAAGCTGCTAAATGGAATTCAGCCGTCATTCATTTTATTATTTCCATTTTCCTATTGTGATGTGTACAAATGTCTTCAGAGAAAAGAGACCTATAAACATTGTATTTTTAATGTGTGATTAGTTTAAGTGTTTCTGTTTTTCTGTTCACAGCAGAGAGAACGGTGGTTGAGAATTTCTGAATTTATCCGTCGAAGGCTTTCTTCACTTGTACTTGATGTCGCTGTGTCCTCAACCAGCAGCTCTTCCTGGGATGATGCAACGTGGGACTGATTGGTTCGGGGGAGGGAACTTTTCCACTTGTTTGCCAAAACTAATGGTATCATAACTCCCATCTGTTACATTAAAGCAGGGCCAAACTCTACATGTTCAAAAACAACAGTTATTGACACTAACTTGACTAATGATTAAGCCGTTCTCGGTTTACCTAGTACTTAACATGTCCGGTCTCAGTTTCCTGACCTAATGGTTTCTGTCTCCAGTCAGTGAAATTCGGCCCATGTGATTGGCTACTGTGTGTACAACTTACTCATGTGTTTTATGTAGCAGGTGGAGGGAAAAAAAATCAAACATTAATTTAATATTATATTGATACACACACACTATATTTCATATTGTGGCCAAAAGATGCACTGAAAGCTTTTGAGCTAAACTGATTGGTGTCTTAAACATTCATGTATTTGTGGCAATGGTCAAGGTGTTACTACTACTCTGAAGTACAACATGGTACAGACTTTAATCAGTGCAGGGCATGTGATTGTCGTATAACCTTTTATCCAATCTTTTTTCTGTATATAATTTACAGCCTGCTAAGGTTGCTTTTATTAGCATGTATGTTCCTGTATTAAAAGAAAAAACACGCCAAGGCCTTAACACTATTTGGGTAATACAACCTGATAGCAAATTTAATGTATATCACTTTAGATACACAAATGGCCAAACAGCAGATGTTCATGTAAGTCAAAATTTCCAAATATTGTTTGTATGATATGAATCATGCTGTAGTGACTTGTTGCATTAATCGTTTTCCACACTGGAATCATATTCCAATCAACCAAAACTTTCACCACTGTTGGCCTGTATTTTTTTCTTAACTTAGCTACTGTGGGCAACCTTTTTAGAAATTAAATTACTTTTTCGGACACTTATGAATGGTGCATGTGATTTTATTTTATTTTTTTTGAATATCAATCATGAAAATAGCACTTTGTAATTGTTTGAGACTCTCCCATAAGCCTTCAGGTTTTTTTGCTACCAAAACGTGTGAACAGGTGAAAGGAGATGGTTCGTAGAGGTTGAAGCCTCTTTGTTTGATTTCAGTGTCAAGTCAGCGTAAGATTGTTCCGGTGTGTGAGTAAAAGCAGGAGGATATGCAAACCATGACATTTCCAAAAATATCATTGGACCAAAGTCAGCTGTGTCTGGTCATAGTAAAGTGAATGGGGTGGTTATTTAGCCCACCAGTGAACTGCTGGACTAAATTTATTTGGTCAAATAATGACTATGGTAGCATCTGACCATACTAGACAGGCAGCTCCATTAACTCTGCAAATTCATGAGTCACAGTGTGTCAGAATCAGGATTGTTTCATATAAAGACAGGGTCGTGATTTATTGATATTTGTAAGGGAAAGACTAAACATGTTGAGAAGACATTCAACACCATGCTCAAACTCACTTGAAAGGTACCACCCCATGCTGACGTGTTGTGAATTTTGGTACTGGAAACAGGTTCATGCTCCATAGAAGTTTAGAAAATGCTGAGGTAAAACTAAATTGGCTGATGTCTTGGGGATTATTCAATGTGTTCCTCCCATCATGGATATTTCTTTGAATTTGGCCCCCAACGCCTTCAGAAAATAGTAAATACTTATAAACTGGTGCACATGTTAAAGTTTAGTTGGAATCCGTTTGACTGCATAAATTTGAAATCCTGAAGCTTCCATCTTCTGGCACCATGGTCGGTGGTAATTAGCAGAAGTGCCATCACCTGGAAATAAAAGGTGGCATCTGTCAGAGGAAGCTCAGGTAAGGCACTTGAAACTGATGCATTGTCACTATAGTAATGTTAATGTTCAAAGAACGTATTATTCCCATAAGGTATCTGTACATAGTGCGTTGATCCTGTTGTGGTACAACTTTACATTTGAGTAGAATGTCCCCTTGTTGCTAACATGTGAATATGGCACCCAGATGGCTTCCAGGTTTGGCCAGAGGAGAGTTACAAGATGCCCGGAGTACTCAGGTAATACCGTCACTTTTTTATCTTTACATGAGCCAAAGGCTTCAGACCATGCACACTTGTAAAACAATCCCCCATCCTTCCACTACAGATTCTTATATCGTCAGGGATCAAAGCCCTAGCCCTCTGAATGAGCGCTCTCACTGCGCCTCCTGGTGGGCTGACAGGGAGGAGCACAAAGAGCAAGAAGACTCACTCAGGGTGGGTAAAAATATGAGCGAATGAAACACATTCGTGCTTGTGGTTTAAAAAAAACCTATCTTGTAGGAGCATCTAAAAGAAATGGATAACCACGTGGCCAGGCTTCAGGACATGCTGAGATGTGAACGGGCCAAAGTAAGTTGAACGCATGTGGTCTTTAGAGTATAACTATCAGAATACCTTCACACTATTCCCCTTTCTCAAAATCTTCCCTTGCCAGTGCTCTCGCCTGCAGCTGCGGAGTAACCAGCAAGAGGCTGAGCTCAAGCGTCGCGAGCAGCAGAGTAACCGGCTGAAGGAGCGACTGTCACAGCTGACTGACCGACACAGAGAAAAAGGACCCTGTGAGACAGAGTTTCTCACACCGCTGTTTGCTTAATATCATATTCACTAAAGGATACATTCACCATGTTGCCTTTGTCTATCCAGCCATAGAGGTGTTGAACCTTCCGCCTGGTGGTCGAGGCAAAAGAGAACAGCCGATCAAACCGCTCAGATCTACTGCAAAGTAAGTTGGCTCTTATCATCGCCTTCAAACGCGCACCCCGCCTCTTTCTAATCCTCACTGGCTCTCTTCCACCTTGTAGACGAGAGGAGGCGACACTACGTCTGATGCTGGAACGCAGAGAAGCAGAGCTCCGAGAGGCGATGAAGCTGCGCCACAGCCTCACCACTTTACTCCACGCGCTCAGAGTCGACATGAAGCAGGTGAGGAAAAGAACAGAGCCTCTTAAGCTAAGTGCTGGTCAGTTACTAGCATTGGTCATTGGGTCACATAGACGTTTGTCAAAAAGGATCCCCAAAACATGTATGTACTTGTTCTGGATCTTTCAAATGATCTTCCCCAGCAGATGCTGCTGCAGATTTGTTAAAGCATCTTGCCCAAAACAAGGACCATTTATTGGAGCTACTATCAATCACTCCACTCCAATCATTTCCATAAATGCCCAACAACCCATTTCCTCTTCGTTGCTCTGGCATTCTGCACCCCAAACTTCTCTATTTTGTTTCCTCATCTCCTCCTTTCTCAATAGCATTATAAGGGGTTCCGTCGTGCACATCTTTGTTTATTAATAAATAATTTAAACAGATCTGTTGATGGTGTGGTCCTCTTTGATAGTGGAAGTGCATGTTCTTTGTGGCTTTTTAAGACTCTGTCGGACATGGTCGATGTCTGTGGTGAGGCACAAACTGAAGAGAAGAGGCTGGATGAAGCCGAGGTAGCGCTTGGTGACCATGTAACAGGAGGTGTGGTTCAGAGCTGGAGGCAGGTGCAGCGGAGAATGGGTGACATCTTATCTGAAGGTAAACACAACAAGATTTAGGATTTCCAGGTTTGTTTTTCAGCTTTCATTTATTTTAATGATTGAGAAACACTAGTCTAATACAGTATCTTGACTGCAGGCCGCACTGGTGTTGGTACCGACCACGACAAGCTCCTGGCTCAACTTGAAACTGACCTGAAGGAGAGTCAGCAGCTTGTCCGATTGCAGCAGCAACTGCTGCAGGTGCACTTGTCTGTCACTCACTCACTCACTTACTCATGCTGGTGTCAGACTGAAATACACTCCTTGGTTTCTGTCTGCAGGACAGCCTTACCTCACCGGTCCCCATTGAACTGGCTGATTCTTACTTTCTGGAAGAGTGGGAACGTCTTCAGGTGCGCTGGGCAGAACTTGAGCATCAGAAGCGGACTTTTGAAAGGGAGAGGCAGTCCTTCACCGATGCTGCCATCCGGCTAAGCCACGAGGTTGGAAGGAAATGAGGCAGGGACTGTTATCTGTATTTAAAAAAAAAAAAAAAAAAATGTGCTGTGGGTCCCCACTGAATTAAAAGGTGTAATAGAGAAAATACAGAGTAAATTAAAAAGGTAAGGTTGGCGATTGCAGCAGCTATTATGAGGAAAAGATTGTCAGAGGTATTCACTGTCTGCGGGCGCCTTGTCCAAAGATCAGATTGTGCATTTACAGTAGTTTCCTCATACAGAAGAGCACAGCATTCTGACTTAAAAGACTGCTTGTGTCTCTGTAAATGTAATCTTTCTGTATCTACAGCGCCGTGATTTTGAGCGTCAGAAGTCCTCTCTCCTGAAGCAGCAGTATCTGTGTGACTCGCCTCTGTTTGGTAAAGGAGCACCGACAAGCAACAACAGAAGAGATAGCACTTCTCTCAGTGAGTATGCAGTTAAATTAAAGGGTGGAGGAGTGAGATGTTTTTTAATGAGGTGAAATGATTTCACCACAAGTCCTAAACACGTGCTGCATATGTGACTCCAGATTTCTCAGGTCTGGGGCCCACCAGCATATCTGGCTGTCTTCCCATAACTCCATCTTCCACCAAGTCGGAGGCAGCTGCTGTTTCTGGATTACATCAAGGAAGAGTCAGCGTTCAAACCCCGAGCACTCCTGAGCTCTACTCTGCTCTCAATCTGTCATACAACTGCAGGTTAGTATGGTCCTACGTTCACAGCATTAACTGTGTACACAAAAAGGAGGGGGGGGGTGAACAAAAAACTTTGCCTGTGAAGATGCATTATTATCATAAATACAAAGTCTGCAATGTCAGTGCTTTGAATGAGTAAAATCTGACCTTGTGTGGCGCCGAGTCAGAATAAACAAACGCAACTACTACATTTTCAGTGGTTTTCTCCCTTTTTATTTTTTAAATGAAATTCCCTTCACAATAGGGGCAGCTAATGGTAATAAACAGGGGTCAGAAATGAAGGACATCAGAGATTGTTTTCAATATATGTAAAAGTTTGGCAGTTAAAGCAGGCATGCGAGTTTGACACAGTGATGTTAGAGTTTGACTCCATGTATGAAATTGCTGTTTTGCACTGTGATATATTCTGTTTGATCTTTAAAAGCTTACTTGGATTTTATGTTCTGCCCATTACCCCTGCCTGCCCGCCCACCCACCAGAGAAGTCGAGCCCCAGTCAGAGACATGGGATAGCCGAGCAGACGGGATGGTGGACACATCACAGGCTCCACACTTAGACTGGTCATTTTAATACAATTTGGATTGTGGTGATTAAACTATGTACCTTATTTTGAAGTAATCAATAAAGATGGATTATATTTTTACCCGACTTTTTTTTTTTTTTTTCCACTTGGAAAGTGTGCTGTTCAAATACGATTTCCTTTCTGTGGTAATCTGGCCTGGCCTTTTTATTGTGGCTAATTATGACTACTGTTTTTTACTGCATTTAGACCACTGGTGCCAACCTGCCCTCCATTCAGGACTTATACATGTCCACAGTCAGGAAACATCATTGCAGATCCATCTCACCCTGCACATAACCAACTTCTCCCCTCTGCACTACACAGCACTGTTCACCAAAGCTAACTGACAGTTTTTAGCCACAGTTAACTCCAGACACTGTGTCAGGGACAATCCCTGTACACTATGACTAACATCTACTTCACCTGTAAACTACTATTTATTCCTCATTGTTGTATTTCAGTTTGGTTTTTTTTAAAACCTCACTTAAAAATCCATGCATGAGGCTCATATTATATGGTGTATTTATCACATCTGTTTACCTCGTACTTTATTTATTCCAGCATCCTTTGCACCCTGCTGCATTTCAATATTGTCTTGCTGTCCAAATGTTTGAGTGTAGTTTGTCTGTTCTTGCAGAGCTTATTGTCTTGTTGTTTTATGCTTGTTCTGTGTAGAGAGAAATGCAAAACCACAGTCAAATTCCTCCTATGTGTACATATACCTTGACAATGAAAGTTATTCTGATTAAACCAATGATTTATGATAACCCAACTATTAAAAACAAAAACAACAATGAATTAAAAACGACGTGGCTTCTTGGTGTACAGTGAAGGCCATGCAACTGAGCATAAGGGGGCACAAAGGCATCATTCAACTTGTTTGATTGGAGTAAATTGAGAAGGTAACCGACTTGCACGCGCTGTCCATGCGCTAAAGCGATTGGCTGCTGGCACGCTGGGGAGTGTGCCACCACTTGTACTCAATTACCAATCAAAACTTTGTTCTCTCGTTTGACGCCTGCAGTGTTGCCCTGAAGGAGCTGCAATGAACGGCGTGTTGTGGGGACTTGATCATCGCTTGTCGAGCTTCATGGATCCGGACAGCAAAAGCTTCCAACCATGGACAGACTACATGGGACTGTCGGACACAATCAGAGAAATCCTGGGTCGGAACTCCGCCACCGAGTCCTCTCTGCCAGTCTCCAACTGCGATGACCTGTGCGAGGCTCTGGTGGCTGTGCGCTTTGACACCTGTGGCGACCTCGGAGCAGCCTGTGCGCCAGATCTGGCTACTAAATCTACGCTGCCAAACCCTTTGGCTCATCAGCGTCCACCTGATGGTTTGCGGTACGCTTCAGATTCCCTAGGTGCTAATACACCAGACGGGGGGGATTTGAAGCTGGTCACAAGACCAACGGGCTCCCGGGGGCCAAAAGAGCGCACGAAGACCACTTGTTACAAAGCAACGGATCCGACGGTGTTGCCTCCATCACCTGAGCGCATGTTTTGCAGTTTCTGCAAGCACAACGGGGAGTCCGAAAAGGTGTACGGATCCCACTGGCTGAAAAGTCAGGCCGGGGATGTGTTGTGTCCCTATCTGCGGCAGTATGTGTGTCCTCTGTGCGGAGCCACGGGGACTAGAGCTCACACCAAGCGCTTCTGTCCAAAGGTGGACAGCGCGTACAGCTCCGTGTACGCCAAGTCCAGACGCTGAACCAACAGGTGGCGGGTAGCAAACAGACACAGAAGGCTGAATCATCCTTTATTTTACTGAGTGTGGGTTTTATTTATTAGCATGCGTGTGTTTTTGCTTTTCTGTGGTTTGGTTTGTTTTTATTTGCATGCTTTGGTAGAGATTCTGTGTAACTTAGCCTTCTATAATGCTGATTGGAGTTATTTTCCAGCTGGTCTTTTTGTCGGCCTATCCTTCAAACAGCGTCCGTTTGGTGTTTTATTTTATTTTGTAGGTATACTTTCAATAACTACTGCCAGATATTATGTTTGGGAGGAGTTTAAAAAGAACAATGGAAAATGTATGTTTGTTTTACATATTTTATAACGTGGCCCTCTGATGTCCAGTTTCATATCTTCTGTCTATGCATTGAAGGATTCTAACATTATCAAACCTTTTATAAGAAGCACAGTCATCAGTAATAACTTCACTACAGCATGTAAACATCTAACCATTTCAGGATTTTAAATTTAAAAAACAAAACAACAAACATGAGTGACTTGTTCTTGTTCTGAGGTGTAAATTCCTGCTCTTGAGGCATGTTTATTTTATTTTTAATAATTTTGTTTATTGTACTTAAGCTTTTCTGACTTTGTGGAGGAAAAAAAACTGCGAACATTTTTGTGTGTAAATACCCTTGTGTGCCAGAAGTTATAAATGTTTAAGTTGACAACATCTGTTTGTATTCTTTGAAATTATTTGACAGAATTTAAGAAAGCCATGGGGGCAGATTTACCTCTGGATATTTCACAAATGAAAGACGATCCTTACAGAATAATACTCAGATTACTGACTTAATAAACAACACCCAGCTTTATTTGAAAAGAATCAGAACTACTGAGCCATTAAACGGAACATTTCAGTTGTCAATAATACAAGAAGAGTGAAGATAAGATTTAAAGTAAATTATTTAAAGGCTTTAACAATTACTCCCAAACCACTGAGGCAACTGTAAGATCAGGATGACAGGGACTTGAAACAAATCCTCAACGGATGGAGCCCCTTGAACTTTTACTGCTACGGCGCAGGTTCTCCATCTCTCTATGAGTAGCCATGACTTTGCGACTAGAAGAAAGAAGACAGAACAAATGCTGATTATCAGATTCCATAATTCTATTAACATCTTCACCGTCAGCTTTGTGTTTGACAACCTGTAGGGCAGATTAAGGCAGGCTGAACATACTGAGTAAAATAAGTATACCCAGGTTTTATGGAAGTAAATTTGTAAAGTCATTATATTAAACAGTTTTTATCCCAAACTCTACTTTTAGACTGACATTTTTTCATAATTTTGTTGCTAGCAGCTCCTCAGATCATCCAAATGTCAGTCTTTCTGAAACATGCATAATTTTCTTCATGCAGATTTGTATTTTGTGCTTTAAATGTGTTGCTCTAAGGTGAGCAAGCTATATATTGGTTTCTTCTAAAGTCAGTGTGTCATGATTTGTTGCCTAGACTTTCTCTCAGCACACACATCCACATCAAAGCCTAAACCTCAGGGCTTGACCAGACAAGGTGCAGTGTCCCTCAGATGGCCCTGGCTAAAGGTGCCAAGCAGTCTACAGCTGACTACACACTCCAGCCAATTAGAGCACAGAGGTGGGTGTGAAGAGGATGCAACTGACCAATGGTGCTACAAGTCAAAAGTTCAACTGTGGGAGGTGGGAGGAGCAGGGGCTGGATGCAGAGGGAGGTTAGAAAAGAAGGAGACCAAAGGACAAGGAATAGACTGGATAGGGCAGCAGTTAGCTCAGGTAGAGGGCCCCCATGCACATGGCTCAGGTTCAAATGCAGCCTATGGCCCTTTGCTGCATGTCGTCCCCTCTTTCACGCCCTCATTTCCTGTCTATATCCACTATCCTATTTGAATTAAAAAGCAACTGGATACTACTGGATAAAATGAGAACAATAGAAACATTTACTAACTTCAGAGAGGATAGTTCTCTGATGAGCCCACAGATCAGGTCTGTAGCATCTTCATGACAGTCTGGGGTACCAAGATCGCCCTCTATCTCCATCACCTCCTCCTCACTGAATGGGGAGAAAGTGAAAAGTTATATGGATATGGTGTTTAAGCTTGTAAAAAATCCTACATTTGAGTCTGTGAATTCCATAAGAGTACGGAAATGTGTAGCTATAGGAAAATGTCTGTCAAAAATATTGATGTTTTGATGTCACAGTGTTCAGGAAATCCTGTAGTCTTCACTTTGAGACTTCATTCATTCATTAACTGCAAACTGCTTTATTCGGCGCAGGAGTTTTCCTTGTGTACTGTGGTCAGTGATTACATCCCACCTCAGTGCTGTGTTAGTGAGCCGTTACTACACATGGCTGACCAGATAATTAATGTAAATAAAAGGCTTGCAGGACATCACCAACTACAGGAGACCACCCCGCCACACTGTGGAGAAGCACCAAATGGCTGACGACATGAATGTGTCTTACTGTAGATTTGATAACCCCCCCCCCACTCATCTGTGAAGAAGTGGGTCAGCTCTTTCAGTGATCATGAGAGCACCAGGGCCAGATAGAGTGTCACCATCCTGCCTGAAAATCTGTGCTGACCAGCTGGCCCCCATCTTCATGCAAATGTTCAACAGCTCACTGGAGCTGTGTGAAGTTCCCTCCTGCTTCAAACGCTCCACAATCATCCCGGTCCCCAAAAAACCCTCCACCACAGGAGCACCTACATAAAGGTGGTGGTCCACCTGAGGGATATTGCAGGTCCCTTGCTGGACCCCTTGCAGTTTGCCTACCGGATAAACAGGTCAGTCAATGGTGCAGTCAACATGGGACGGCATTACATCCTGCAACATGTTGACTCTGTTGCGACATACATGAGGATCCTGTTTATGGACCTCAGCTCACAGTTTAACACCATCATCCCGGACATCCTCCACAGCAAACTCACCCAGCTCACTGTACCAGCCTCTACCTGTCAGTGAATCACAAACTTTAGGAAGAGCCCCTAACTCTGCCCCCCATCACCATACTCAACAGCCCTGTGTCTGCTGTGGAATCCTTCAGGTTTCTGGGATCCACTATATTCCAGGACCTAAACTGGGAGCCCAACACACCATCATCAAGAAGGCCCGGCAGAGGATGTACTTCCTGCGCCAGCTCAGGAAGCTCAACCTGCCTCAGGAACTGCTGATCCATTTCTACAACAACATTATTCAGTCTGTTCTCTGTTCATCCATCACTGTCTGGATCTGCCACCTAACAGGACCAGAGCAGACTACAACGGACAGCCAGGACAGCAGAAACAATCATTGGTGCAAATCATACCCTGCACACAACCTGTTCCAACTTCTCCCCTCTGCGCTACAGAACACTGAACTCTCAGTTTCTCTTTTAAAACATAAATATCATCACTCAAAACTGTATTTATCATATCCTCATGTACATAAAAATAGCTGCACAATTTTTTATTCCAGCATCCTTTGCACTATTGTCTTGCTGTCTACAAATGCTGTTGTTTTTGTTTATGTTTGTGTGTATCTGTACGTAATAGTTTGTCTGTTTTTGTTGAGCTTGTTGTCCTGAGTGTTTATGCTTGTTCTGTGTATGTACATTAAACACAGAGTAAAAGTAAAATTCGCATACGCATACCTGGCCAATAAAAGTTGGTGGTGTGATTGTTAAAATGTAATACTTTCCATTCCTTGTTTACAGTCGCTGGTGTCAAATGAGCTTCGACTTCTTTTTTTCTTTCTTTTTTTTTTTTTTTACAACCTGTCAGTCAGTAAGTTGTTTGGAAGAGGACACTATTGGGTTTCCAGAGCCTTAAATAAACTAAACTTGAGCTTGTTTACACTGGGTGTTTATCTGAAGAGCCAGTCTACAGAGGCTCACTTGCTTTCCTGACCTTCCCTTTCTCTACACTCCTGTCAGGATTATATTGGGATTTAACCATCTTCGCTCCTTTCTTACATCAGAGCAATGGCGTTCAACTGTGAGTCCGACACATAATCCAAGTACCCAGATCCAAACAGATCAGTGGTGTCCCTGGCCTGAGGGGGCTCAGTGTTCACAGTTGAGGGACCAGCACAAGGTTCATCATCTGGATTATGCTGCAAAAAAACAAAAAGAAATCAACCATTTCTGTAAAGTTACAAGGTAGACAGAAAAATAAACTTCAGGATATATCAATTTAGCAAATGTTTGTTTTGGCGTATTTTTCAGTATACTTGTAACTTATATTCATGTAACAGGTGACTGTCAGATGTCAATTAAAGCGTACGCACAGCTAGTTAAGTATTCAGCTTAAAATGAGTTATCTGAATAGCTGCATTTGTAATTATGATTTACAGTACGACAGCACCTAAACAGTTGTTTTCATCATTCAGTCAATTTTTTTTAAATGAATGGTTTAGTCGAAAAACGGCCATTGCCAGTTCAGAGAATTAAAGTTAATCATATTCATGATAAACTGTCTGTTGATCACTTAATTGATGTATTGTTTCAGCACTAATTTATAGTACATCTCTTGCAGGTGCATTAGTCAGAAACACTGCGCAGTTATGTGTTGCGGCAGATGGACGACAGAAAAACTGCATTAATGAAGAAAATACTGACTGAAACACAGTTGAAGACATTTTTGACAACAGTCTCAACAAAAACTTGACATTAAGAGCTTCACTAAACTGGTATTTTGGAAGTTTGTACCCTCCCCATCATTTAACTACTGGTCACTCACACTGTCGTTCCTCTCAGAGCCACTGGGCGTCACTGCAGCCCCGCAGAGCTCCACAGAGCCACAGTTAAATCTCGCTGACCGGTAGTCTGTGGATGAAGCACCTGCTTCCGCTCCGTCAGCATCCCCAGCATCACGAGTCAACTCTTCCTTCTTCTCATCTCTTGTCCTGGTCACAGTCTTTACCTGCAGAAGGGCAGTCTCGATTGCATCCAGGTTCTTAGTCTCCTCATTTTGAGTTGATTTGGAGTATAGAGCAGTGGCAGGACTTTGGACGACTACCTCTGGCCCATCTTGCCCTTCTTTCACTTGTTCATGAGCTCTTTGAGGCATAATCTCCGCTGTATGTTCCTCGAGTTCCTGCTGCTCCTGATTCCCCCAAATCTCCTCCTCAGCAGGTGGATCTGACTTTGTGTCACCAGGTTGTTCTAGACCACACGCGATGCCTCCTTCAGCCTCACATCTCTTTCCCTTTGAGCAGCATGGATCACACACAGTACTGGTCCCATCTGAGGTAGTGACAACAATGCGGACTTCAGTTTCTGCCCTGTGTGTTAACAAACAATGTTATCGTCAAGGAGGGAAATAACAACTCACAATAACCATCTTTATTGATTGTAAATATTGATTGCAAATATAAAAGTGACGCCTCTAACAAGAGATGCCCCAACTACAAAAACCATCAGAAAGAATAAAAACACAATAAAGCCAAATAACTTGTTTCCACTGTGGTCTTTTTTGATTGTTTTTGTATGTTTGAACCTTTGAAATGTTTTCAGTGACTTCACATATTACACAACAGTTAAAATGCATCCACAATAGAGTACAAATGTTGTTGACTTATAATAAAACTTGAGAAGCACATGACAAAACTCTTTCCACCTCTGGTAGATGTCATGAAAATGCCCAAATGAAACTTAAAATCTAAAAATAAGAATAAATATAAGAATAAAAGATATTTATCATCTAGTTTAGATTCCTTGTTACATTATTCTAACCTGTCATCCCCTTCACAGTGGCTGGACACAAGGTTTATCTTGGCCTCGGTCTGCTCTGTGGCATTGCCTACTGGGATGGATAGTGAGGATGGTAAATCTTCCTGAGCCACAAGGTCAGCTGTGTTTTTACAAATCTGCTTCTCAACCCGCTCCGATCCGTTCTGCCCGTTTTCGCGCTTCTGTGTCTGTAGAAAGTGACTCCGTTCCTTCTCTGTCAGACCACACATCCCCATCCTTCGCTTCTTTTTGGCCGGTAGCCCCGCTGCTGCCTCCTTTTTGATTTTTTCTTTCACATCAGCCATGTATACATCGCTGGCTTCTTGGTTTCTCTCCAAATTGCACTGATAATTCTCCTTTGCACCCAGTTGTTCATCTGAAGATGTTGCACAGGATCCAACATCTTCTTCAGAAGTTGGTAAGAAGACTTGGACATGATCGCTGCATGTTTCAGATGATGGCCTGCTAGCATCCTCTGCAGTTATTTCCTCATTGTTCTTATTGGCATCATTATCAGTGTGTGCTCCAAAGCCCTCCAGCTGAGAGTCATTGTTTGGATTGGTGACTATAGTCTCTTCTTGTCCCGCAAAATCTTTAACCGTCTCATCTTTTAAGTAAACGTTTTTTGCTTCTGCATGTTTTTCTTCTATGGCAGGACCTTGTTTGGTGAGACAGGACTGTTCTGCAGCCTGATGCTGTTGAGGTGAAATCAGAGAAGATTCCTGCAGAGAGGACTGGTGGCCCTGGAGCACTGTGGCATCAGCTGCTGGATTATTTCCTTCAGTGTCCTGAAATAAATAAATAAAAGGACTTGTCAGCAATTTGGTATGATGTAAAAGTAGGTTCTGTTTCAATCACCTAAATTACCTGGTGATGGAGAGCAGCCTGAATATCCTCAGTCTTGGAAATGTCATCACTTGGATGTTCCCTCTTCCTTGACCTGAGTGATCGAGGCTGGGGTGGAGCTGAGCTGACTTCACACATAAGGACCAACTCAAGTAATCAACAATTACTGTAGCTTATTAACACTTAAAAGGAGTGTATCCACGATAAATTGAAGCAGCAGTATATCACTTGACATTTAGTTTCAGAACATCAAATAATCATATATTATTTCTGTTCAACAGCAGCACATCAAAGATAGTCCATATTATGGGGCAATAGCTTCTCCTTTACCACTGCTGTTGATCTTAGCTTTTCCTTTTGCCATCTCCTCTTCCTACAGAATAAAAAAGAAAGAAAGTTGAATTACATGACAACATAGTAGTACATGTTAAAAGTAAATCCTACACAACTACAACAGATAAATCCCATTGTTATCTTGGTGATTAGCTTATAGCCAACAATAGTTTTTGAATTCTCCCCCCTCAAAACAGTAAATGTAATCAGGCAGCTAGCTAACACAAATCAAGTTACACTAACCGAATGAAGAAAGTACAAGGTATGCCTTGGGTACTGAGTGTACTTGCTGAAGGTCAAATACTCAATTGTTGCTGATTTTGTGCCTGTAACATTAAACTGAGATATTGTCGAGTCATGCTTTTTCCCACGCTCATGCGACCACCCACCTGAGCCGGGGACGTCGGGGTTTTACGTCAGTAATGGGCGTGTGTCGTCTAGCCGTAAAGCGCTATGCGCGTTGCCACCGGAGACGCAATGTAGGAAGTAATTTCCACAGCTTGCCGTCGTTGTTGTTTTGATAGCTCGAATAGTTAAACGTGTTAAAATACACCTGCCTGCGTGTTTATGTTCAGTATTTTCTCCTGTTGTTTCTGAGCAGTTTTCGACTTGGATAACCGACCCGACACTAACATCACCGACACGGTAAAGAGCTCCCCTGTAACTTACATTCATTAGCAAGCTGGCTAACGTTATGTATAAATTCAACTGTATTTGGTGCTACCTGTTAGCTACCATGAACACAGAAACAGTTTGAACGATTACACAAAATGGCACAAGGTGGCTGTTATGGAAGTCCGTGTCGACAGGTGCACTGGTAGTGGATACTCTCAGTTATCGACACGTTCATAACCTTCCTGTTTATTTTTATTGGCACAACTAACTGAATGGTTGAAAGTTTCAGGTACTGACAGTCCATGAGTCGCGGTCGGAACCCCCCTCCCCGGGGTCAAGGGGCAGCCCGAGCCAAACAGGTAAGGACCGTCATGTCTGACAATGAGCTGCGTGGATTGTGTCTATTGTTAATATGTCAACAACAGGTATGATTCAGCAGATCTCTCCCTTCTTTCCTTCTGTGCCTCAGATGGGGCTGCTCCTTGACCTGTCCCTGGACGGAGGGATGAACGATGAAGGGAATGATGAAGACCTGGAGGCAGAGCTGCTGAATCTGGTGGGAGGAGGTGGGGCAGGAGGGAGATCACAAGGGAAGAAAGGTGATGGCAGAGGTGAGAGATTAATTTCTTACCTTGATCTAATTCGCAGACATCTAACATCTTTCTGTCTCATCCACATGCTCGTGCGTACATGTTGATATATGATTCAGTGCTGCTTGTGTTGTGTCTCTCCATGTTCAGCTCCTGTCGCCATGGCTGAAATAGAGCGAATGGCAGCTCTTTGTATGAAAGACCTGGATGATGATGAGGAATTGGGGGATGAAGATTTGGATGATGATGATCTGCTGGTAACACACTCTCACAGTTTTTATATATTGACAGAAACAGTATTTGGAACTATTTTGATACTATGTTAATGCTGTCAGTCATTTTTCCAAGCAAAAATACCAACCATTGGTAGGTCCCAGCTTCTCCAATGCGCTAAATTGGCTGCTTTACTTCATCATATTTGAACTGCATATCCTCTGGTTTTGGGCATCTTGGTTGAACAAAACAAGCTATTTCACATAAAAGATAATAAAATATAGTTGTTAGTTGGCTTCCTAATCCATTTAATTCCACTTATAGTATAATGGTGAAGCTTAGCTGTTGAATAGCTTTAAATGTCTGGATTTTCCTCTGTCTTTGTACATAGGCAGAACTGAATGAGGTGTTAGAGGATGATGACGAACAAACTCCTGCTCCCACCCCTCCTGCCGTCACGCCAACTGCTCCCAAAGTGAGCGTCACATCCCGCTCTACTCCTCATGCTGCTCCCAGTGGTGCAACTGGGATGGAGTCCTGCCTATTGGAGCGCATCGATATGTACAAGACAGCCATTTCCAATGCCAAGGCTGCGGGGGAGACCAGCAAAGTTCGAAGATATGACCGTGGGTTAAAGGTAAAATGGAGAGAAGAAAAAGAGGAAACATCTCGTATGACCTCAAAACAAATTGATTCTCACACTGTGCCTTCATTCAAATCTTTTGAATTGTGATTTTAAGTTTGTCTGTAGTTAGTCTGTAATGTTGAAAACAAAAGTTTATGATTTTTCCCTTCAACCTTAGACAATGCAGTCCATGTTGGCATCTGTCAGGAAAGGAAAACCCATCAATGAGGAGGAGATCCCACCTCCTGTTGCTCTTGGGGGAAAGCCCAACGCCACAGCCGAGTCCGTGCCTATCAAGGAACGAGAGCTGGCAGAGCCCACGCTGATTCCTTCTCCCACAAATCAAAAACCTCTAAGGGAGGCTGCGCCAACAGCTCCTAATACGAAGCTGCACCTTCTGACCCCGCCCCAAAAGCCTGCTGCTGCCATCACCCCAGGAACACCTGCCATATCACCCCTCACCCCCAGCCAGCCTGACGCACAGCACTCCGGTAAACACACACTAACATCCATAGAGTACTCTGTGGTCGTCTCTCTAACTCACCACTTCTACTCTGTACTGTGTACTGGATGTATAAGAGTAAAGATGTGCTGCAATTCTTCCACACACTTTAAATTCATCGACTCATTCTTCCAGTCGTAAATGTCATTAGATTAGCACAGCCACTCAAGGGGATTCAATGATTATTGGTCGTCTTATTTATTTCAATTGGACAAAACTGCTGAAATGATTAGTTGATTGATGGATTAGTAGATTGATGATTTATGTAGTGCAATCCTAATGTCAAACTTAATATCTTTATTTGTACTAGTAAATAGTCTGTTGATGTGTCCATCTAGCACGTTTAGCTCTGGGCTTTCTCTTCTCACAGTAAATATAGTGTATATTTACTGTATGTTGATGCTGTTCAAGGGTTACTTACTTTTCTTCATTAACCGCTCATCAGATCATTTTAAGACTTTGCTTTTCGCTTTGGTAATTAGCGGTGGGGAAATGTATTTTACATTAAATGATCAAATGTGTTCATTACATAACTAAATCAAATCAAGAAAAACCTACTACTTAATCAGTATTCCTCATTTGTTGCTGCTCACAGACGCAGTCGCTCACAAATTCCCCCAGAATGTCACTGTCATCCTCCTGAACTTTTAAACCAACTTCTTTTTACACAAACACACATGTATGCCTTCCTTCCATTCAGAGCTGAAACAGGCAGTGTTGTCCAGACAGAGGGAGTATAAGATGGCCGCCATAAATGCAAAACAGAGGGGTGACGTTGACAAGGCCAAACAGCACTACCTCGTGTCCAAGGTGACAGAACCAATGTCAATGTTTATCACAGTAAATCTATATGTGTGCGTAAGTTTAGAAAAATCAACCCTAATAGAGTTGACCTGTCTTCATTGCAGAAACTGGACTTGCTGGTGGAGGCCCTGGACAGATATGAACCAGTAGACCTGAGCTCACTACCTCCCCCTCCTGGTCAGTGTAACCACTTTTAAAGAATTACTTTACCGAAAGGTTTGGACTTTTGTCGCAATTACTTACTCGGATTTCTTCACAGAAAAGTTTTTAGTCTGATTTCTTCACGGAGAATGGAGCTCCCAACAGTGGTGTCAGTTTTCTTATACAATAAGTTTGATTAAAGACCAAAAAAAACAAACACTTTGCTTCATTTCAAAGAAGACATTAAAGTCCTTAAATGCTATCAAGCTACTCTGTCACAATGTAATTCTGTTTTTGGGTCTCCAGTTGTATGCATCACTCAAATTCACATTAATCACGAAAATTATATTCTTTCATTCTCCTTATTTTCCCTTCAGTGTAGTCGCTTCTTGCTGATCATCTTTAACCCTTTTATGTGCTGCACTAGTTGTTTACCTTTTTGATACTGTTGACCACTGAATTTTACTAAACAAATGACATTTTCTTGGTTTGGAAGTTTATGCTCAACCTGGTTTCATGCATATGCTGATCTGTACTGATGGTCTCACATCAACTTCCATTTGAATATTTGAATTTGAATAATAATAAGTGCGTACCGAGTGCTGATGAGATGAAATATGTTTTATTCTCCGAAATTAAGAAGAAGAAGCAGAAAAGTACTGAAATTTTAATTGAATTGAAATCTGAATTTATTTATTTTTAGAACTGGATAAAACAATCAACCACGTGTGTGCTTGACTATAGATATATCTTGTATTCTCATGTTACTCATTCCACCTTTAAAACTTGTGTTTTATTACAGGAAATAAGTATCACACTCATCATTATGTACTAATTCAGAAAGTGGGCTGGCCCATATTAACAACAAAAACAGAACTACCACATTACCACACAATCAGTTCTGTTGAGAAATACACCTGGCTAACTCTCCCAGTGGATGAATTTAAACTTTTAATTACCTGTTACCTGATTTAAATAAATGTTGTTATTATAATAATAATAATATATCTACTTCTCCACCGATATCTAATCATCTGCAGGAGACATAGTAGCAGAACACTGTGCACCACCTCCTCCTCAGTCTTCCTGTAAACCTGCTGGCCCTGCTGCTCCAGCACCCGCCCAGTTGGCCACTGCCGGTAACGCCCCAATCCTTCCTACTAATTGGAGTAAAATAAATGTTGAGAGTAAATAAAAATGTTCAGTGCACATTGAATTGAATTAAAAGTATTAAAGTTTGTGTGGGTGTCTGTGTGTGCCCTGCAAAGATCTGCCTGCTCCCAGCAGTTTGGCAGAAGCCCTGCAGCAGAGGATGGACATATACAAGTCAGCAGCAGAGGGAGCCAAGAGCAAAGGGGACGATCGAAAGGCTCGCATGCACGAACGGATTATCAAGGTACACAGCATGCACTTAAATATTGTTAGGACTATTTTCAAAGCCATTTTTTTTCTCCAAAAATATGTTTAATGCATACTTAAATAAGGCATCAGATATTCTCAAAGATACAGTTATTTGTGATGCACCTTGCATTCTTGGCTCTGTGCTGCTGTTTGGTGTTCTCATTTCCCTGAATAACTGGTGTGTGACTCACTTTATTTTGACTGGAAATACCCTCTGTTGCTTTGACTGTACCACTATTGCTTATTTTACCTACCAAAATAACCTGCTATAAGGTCTGCCTTATTCTCTGGGGATTCTTGAACGACATTGTGCAAAAGAAACAAAACAGGAGACCTCTAAATTAAGCAGAAGAGCATGAAAGAAAGGACAAAAAATAGTTGTGGGGTATGTTTTTTGCTTTTGTTGGAGGGGAAGCATGTTGATGACATTGATTTCCATGTGGGAGTTTTGCTTTTGTACTTTCTCTCATTATTTTATTGTTTATTTTTATATGTAAGAAAGCCACTTCATGTGACCCCTCTTGTGTTTGTTTAAGTGGGGTGGGAGTGGAAAATTGGTGTGGATGTTTTTTTTTGTTTTTTTTTCTGATTTACAGATGATGCTATATTCAAAGTCTTAAAAATGGCAAGATCTTGGATAATAAAAATTAAGGAATACACTGACTATCCCAGAGTAATACTAGCGTGTATAATAGGGTGATGGTACCCCAGGATTTTTTTTAAAGGCGATAACAGAATTATCAGTCACCTCCTTTTTTCCCAACAGCAATACCAGGATGCCATCAGAGCTCACAAAGCTGGACGACCTGTCAGCTTGTCTGACCTGCCCGTGCCGCCAGGTAACTTTCTCCAGGTGTGTTTTCAGGATTGTGCCTGTGTGGGTTGCCCTAAATAGTTGCAGTAAGGCATTTGTGTGTTGCTCCTCCAGGCTGTCCACCACTTCAGGGCTCAGAGGGGGGCCAGCAGAACCTCATGGGTGTCCTGGAAACAGCCATGAAAATAGCCAATCAGGATGCAGACGCAGAAGATGATGAAGAAGAGGATGGACAAGGAGCTGCCAAGGTAAAAAAATTAAACAAAACAATGAAGGCACTACTAAATGGTCAAATTGTTATTGTGCAGCCAAGGAGTCTGGCTGGTTGCCTTTTAACCAAGGCAAGAAATGTTTTTTTTTGTCAAGCCAGCTTCTGTTGTAGGTATTTGAATCATTTTCTCTGCTGCACCTCCTGCATATTGCATCAACTTCATGCTTGTAATCATAGTGAAGAATAATACTTCAGTTATTTATAGAACAGTAACTCGCTATTACATTTAGTTAATACTTAACTGTTAATATAATTAAACTGTTAATCACGCTCACACGCTGTCTCAAGCTATTTAAGAGAACTGCACCTTTTAAATCTATATGTATGTTCATTGCATTCGTCTTTAGCCTGCAGTGCGTCCACCCGCTCAGAAGGCAAAGTCTCCTGCTCCTCAGGCCCCCGGAGGTTCCTCATCTCTAAAACTGGGAGCCAAAGGTGTGTTCAGAATGTGGGTTTGTGTATGTGCATGCACATACAAAATGTGTCATACGAAGTGTTTGAGCGTTACACAAGGCAAAGTTTCACTTTTCTTTCTCTCTTAATTATCCTTGTAGCCCAGCAGCAAGTGGATTTCCTGTTGCTAAGGCGACAGGCTTTTTTGCGTGCCGCGCTGCGCTCCAAACAGATGAAGGTAAGCTGTGGGCTAAAAAAAACAAAACGTTATTCTTTTTCCTTTGCTGTAGATAGTTTACCTGCCATCTTTGTGTTTTTGTAGATGTCTTTATCACGGCTGCCTGTCGTTTTCTTGCAGTCTTGATCATCTGTTGTGCTGCTGTGGTTTGATTGATGCATCTACGGCTGTTTGGTTCTTTGTAGGACATGACTGGAGCAGCGCAGCACCTCAGACACTCCAAGGGACTGGAGCCCATGATCACCGCTGCCAAGTCCGGCCTACCTGTTGATATTTCCAAGGTTATAAATTTATTCTCATGTGAAAATTAATGACCTACAAGAAGTTACAGAGCAAGTGTGTGTGTGTGTGTGTGTGTGTGTGTGTGTCTATCTGCATATTTTCTGTGTCATTCCACTATTCATATTTCATATAGTTGCCATTGATCCCATGTGCCTTTATTTCATTTTGCCTCTGTTTTTTTTAACATCTTTGCTTCATATAAGCCATGTATTTCTCCCTGACTTGTATTCACAGTGTAATTACAGAGAATATTATGCTTGTGCCTCTGTTAGTTTGTCTTCCTGTCTGTCTGCAAAATATCACACAGCCTTAGAAACATAATTTGTGCACACTTTCTAAAAGTGCGTTGCAGATCACAAGGAATTAAGAAAAATAAACTATGCTGGTTATGTAATTTAGGATAACAGCAAGTTGGCAGATGTTTGCTTTCTCTGAGTGCCCTCTTGTTTTTATGTTAAGATTTTTGAACATTTAAACGTTTTCCCCACACACATTTTCTCATCAGACTTTGTTTCTTTCCTCACAGATTCCCAGTGCTCCAGTCAGTGAGGAGGACTACTCCCTGGCTCGCTCCCGTACCTCCCCTCTCTCCCCTCGCTCCAGTGAACAGTACCACCGCCTAATGGAGCTTTTGCGGAAGCAGCACGAGGTCAGGACACACTTCTCCCTTTTTTTTTATGTACATTGTGAAAGTGCACCTCCTAAGCCTTGCTGTGTATCAGTGACCAGTTTGTACTTTTATTGATATCATATGGTAGTTGTGATAATGGCCTTAAAGATTGTTCATCACATTTCTAATTGTGCAGTTTTTTAAATAGACAAATTGCAAATCATAATTTATCTGTGTCTTATTATTTACCCAGGACCTTCTGTATTCTGTATTTTGTTCTACAGAAATGTCTGGGCAATTCTCAACAGCTCATACTCTTGGGCAATGTGGCCGAGGCTCTGAAGTAAGAGACATTCCTCATTTGTATATGTGACTCTCGTTTGTATATGTGAATTTCATTAAACATGTTACCTGCAGCCATGATGGAATTAACCACCTCCTCTTTTCTGGTGCTAGAAATTGAGCTAAATGCAAGCGCAACTCAATTCACAAAGTTATTCTTGGTTAAAAAATTGTAATTGAATGTTTGGGCATCAGGTCAGTAATACATGAATTACATTAAGCATTAAATTGAATCATTCAGACTTTGATTTTATGGCATACTATCGTTTTTAACACATATTATTATATTAGTTATATTTTATATATGTATAATTAATCTAAACACTTGGGCGCAGTTGTGGAGAACTGTCAGTACAGTCACTTTGGCAACACACAGACTGTGATTTTATGTTTTTTTCTCCATATAGCACCTCATCACCATAACTTCATGTCACACTGCATATTTTGCATATTTTCTTCACATATCATTTTCACATACAATTTAACTGTCACACATCATACATTATACTTTTTTCTGTATTCCTGAAGAGTCTGCATTGCTCTGTTTCTCCTCAGATATGCTTTGAAAGATAGTGTCATCTCCTTGAAACAAAAAATGTTTTTTTTTTTTAAATATCATGCTCCTAAATTTCTTACATTAATTTAATTAAATTCAAAGAGAGCTGTTTGGTGTCCTCTGAGCACTGTTTGTGCAGAGATCAGGTACCAGGCCATCCTTTTAAGTATGAGATATGAGCATTTGTGTGTAAGGACCATCTCTGTCTATCCCCAGGTTTGAGAAGCTTGTTGAGGAATGTATGAAGAGCATAGAGATACTGAAGAATGCCCACGCGAAGGGCCAGCCAGTCCCCAAGTGCCGCACAGAAGAGAGGACCCTCAACACTGTCAAGTCAGCAACAAACTAGAGAATGGATAATAATAATATAATGCAATTGAATAGTTTGTTATAATGTATTCTCTTTGAATAGCATGCGCTCCATAAGGACAGTCAACACTTTTTAGTTTATCAAGCTGTAGGAATACGGGTCCGTATGTCAGTTAGTCGACCGCAACTATAGGAATGGATCCTCATGAAATTTGGTACAGACATTCACATCTGCTACACAGTGAATATGAGATCAAAACTAAAATTTGTCCAATTCTTTTATGACTAAATAGCGCTTTACGTTTAGTGCTAATTAGCGAATTTCAGCATGCTAACACACTAAACTAAGATGGTGAATATGGTAAACATTATACCTGCTAAACATCATTATATTATCACTGTGAGCATGGTAGCATACTGATGTTAGCAATTAGCTCAAAGAACCACTATGTCTAATGATAGCCTCACAGAGCTGCTAGCACAGCTTGTGACTCTTAGTCAGGCCCAAAAATAGCCAAATGCTTATTTTACTCCCTGTATAGTGGTCTAGACCTGCTCTGTGTGAAAAATGCAATGAGACAACTTCTGCTACGAGTTGGCGCTATGTCAATAAAATTGAACTGAATGGAATAAAAACAATTCATAGGCAGTTACCAGTGGCCTGCCTGTAAGCCTTTCATAAGTATTCTAACCAGTTTTACCATCAGATCAGTGATTATTGGGTTTGAAGGTGCATTTATGTGTTCAGCCACAGAAATCCTGTTTCCTTGGATTGTAGTTGCATAACGGTTGCATCCCTGTTAAGAGATTTTTTTTGTGACAGCAGGTATTTAAACTTATTTCAGTAGTCCGTCCTGTGGTTAAAATCCCCGAAACACAGTCTGAAATGAAAACACAGTCATTAGATCAAGGGGTCATATTAGAGGGTGATTTTAAGGAATTATAAATGTTTTATTGAATGCTTTAAAATTTAACTGAATGTATACTTGATTTTAAAGATTCTCCACACATGCATCAGTTGTTTCATTTTAGGAACTAGAGCGCTAGATGAGTCAGAGTGACTCACTGTGGCTCCAGTATCATACCAAGCTAACAGCTAGGTGACTCTGGCATTGACTCACTCAACAGTCGGGATTGTTTGGCTCTCAGTGTTGCTGTCTGTCACTCGTGATGTTGTTCCTGAATAGTCATGACTCCTCCTGTTGTTCTTATGTAGGATCCACTCCAGCCTGACACTTAATGACCTGATGCTGCACATCATCAGAGGCATCAACCTGCCAGCTCCCGCAGGTACTGAAGCCAGGTCTGCGTCTTTGAAATAACTAGGCAGCAATGTGTCAAATGTATGTTCACTCCCACCTACATCTCTGACTTCAGGTGTTTCACCTAATGATCTGGATGCCAGTGTGAAGTTTGAGTTTCCTTTTCCCACTGCGGTAAGAATCTTTCACACTCAGTGAGCAGATTATGGGTATTTAAGTGTTTATATTGATATGTGTTATAATGGATTCATTTATGTGTGTGTGTATAGGAGGAGGCTCAGAGGGACAAGACCAGCACAGTAAAGAGCACAAACAGTCCAGAGTTTAAAGAGCAGTTCAAACTCAACATAAACCGCACCCACCGAGGCTTCAAACGAGTCGTCCAGTCCAAAGGCATCAAGTTTGAAATCATCCACAAGGGGTAAAAAACATGGCTGCTTTGGGGAAACACAGACAGAAGCTTCCTTGTTTATCTGCACGTTCTGTAAATGTTATGTCTGTGATGCTTTTGTCAATTGTGTTCTTCTCTCTCCTTATTCACAGAGGCCTCTTTAAAACCGACAAAGTCGTGGGCACTGCTCAGCTGAAGCTAGAGGCTCTAGAAAACCACTGTGACGTTAGAGAGATCATAGACGTGAGTGTTGATAACCTGCAAACACAAATGCATACACACACGCACCAGATCTTTGTTACGGCCTGCATGTGTTTCATAGGTGATGGATGGACGTAAAGCGACAGGTGGCAAGTTGGAGGTGATGGTGAAGATCAGAGAGCCTTTATCAGGAGCTGATCTCCAGCCGGTGACTGAGAAGTGGCTGGTTGTCGATCCTGTGTCCACCCTTTCTCCTACAGAGAGACAAAAGGAAAAAAAGGAACGGGTGAGTAGAGTTTTCAGTTCCTCCAGAGGACACAGAAAGCGCATGCAAACCCCTCACAAATACTCCAGCTGGCCTGGTCAGGTTGTCACTTGTGTGTGTAATTTGTGTATGAAACACTGAGCCAGTGTGCCATCCTAAAAATTCAAGCGCAACTCCATGAATGCCTTTGAGGAGAGATGGTTTGAAAGTATGCAACATAAGTATGGAACATTATAACCATCTGAACTATTATAACATCTCGCCCGTCACTATATATCCAGCAGTTTTTAAGCACATTTTAAATTTTCACACAGAAACGTGGAGTGGAAATTCAAGAAAAAATGCCAAATATCACAAAAGTTTTTACACTTTGCTGAGGTGAAACAAATTGTGGAACAAATAAAAAATCCTAACTAGGTACGGGGGCTGGAAATTAGTACTCTGTCTACATTACATATGTTGCATTGCTTATCTGTATATAACAATGTTTATGTTCTATGGTCCCTGTTAAATAAGCAATATGTAAAGTAGTGCAACGAATATAATGGAGAATAATGTACATCATGTACAACGATGTACAAGCAGCATGATTTATTTGGAGCGACGAGGAGACTTAATATTTCTCAAGTTGATACATGAAACAAACAAACGCCATATTTCCATCATGTCTTCTACATAGTTTTCAGTAACTGGGGCTCAGTCATCTTGTTAAGCTCTCTTCCTCTGCAGTGGTTTAATGGCACCTGACTGGAGACGCTTTAAACACTTCTGCCTTTAGACCCTGTTGGTCAACACATCACACAAACTAGTGTGTTTTCAGCACAACCCAAGCTGCTGCCCTGTAAATGCGGGGGTAACAAATGCTGACACCATTGGCACAAAATAAATTGCTGGTGTCACTTCAGTGAACTTTGTGTGTGTTTGTTTGGATCAGGCGCCATCTCCTCCTCGGTCTAAACCCAAACATGAAGCGAGCAGCAGGAGCAGTCATTCCAGCAACTCTCCTCCACAGTACAAACTCCACAGCTTCAGCCTCCTCAGCTATGACAGGGAGCGGCTGGAGAGAAAGGTGTGTGTGTGTGGTCTAACCCTGTGTACGACATCCCATTCTCTCATGCTTGTAATGGCCTGAAGCTACGGAGGTCTCCTCAGTCATTACAGATGTCTCTCAGATTGCAGAATACCGAAAGACGCGCCGGGATCCCCCATCTGACCTCATCCATCAACACAAAGAGGTCACATACAGACTGCAGTGGCAGAAAGCACAGCTGGAGCGAGCCTCTCCTGCTCTGCTGACAGGTAACTCTCTTTCTCTCTCTCTCTCTCTCTCTCTCTCTCACACACACACACACACACACACACACACACACACACACACACACACACACACACACAACACACACACACACACACACACACACACGAGTATGTACATTACCAACATGTGCATGTGTCTCAACCTCTCCAGCATGTAACCCACATTTCCCTTCGCCACATGTGCAGATTATGAAAATGTGCTGCAGCGCTTAGTCCAAGGACTCGCTGACTCTGTGAAGAAATTCTCCAGCCAAGGCAACAGGGTAAGCGCAGGATCAGGGTTGACTGTTACTTGAATCTGTGTGTGTGTGTGTGTGTGTGCGTGTGTGTGTGTACATGTTGGGTCTTATTATGTATTATTTTCATTCTCTTTTCATAGGACGCTGCCAAGGACGCACTGAGCAGGTTGAAGATGGTAGAGAGCGAGGTAAGAGTTGCGATGGACTGTCAGTGTAATAAAATAAGTAAAATAAGTTTTATCATCATCGTGTGTGTGCGAATATACAATGCTTATACTCCTTTTCTCTCTGCTCTAGCTGGAATCGTTAAAAAGGAAACGCACTGGATGAGAGAAGAGTAAGAGCGGAGAAGACTTGGCTGAAGTACTGTTATCGCTCTCTCTCGCGCGCGCTCTCTCTCTCTCTCATACACACTCATATACAGACACTACAGTGGGTACTTTAAGCACCTTTAGCATGATTTTATACTGCTCATGTCCACAACAACAACTGCATGAACCTACCTGATCATTCTGCCAGTTGATCTTATAAATTGGTCGCCTGCCTCAGTACTACAAAATAAATCTGTAACTACAGAGCGACAAAGAAATTGAAACAAACATTAAAAGGTGTTCATGAGCTAAGGACGAGGCAGGCTTATTGCACTTAAACAAGACAAACACTACAGAAAGCTGCTTGAAGCACAGCTTTACAGACCTTATCTGTACTATCATTTTTTTATTCCCATCCCATCTTCTTTTGAGAATCATTGGTGAAGAGATCTGTCCCAACACTTTTAAGTTTTACATTTGAAACCAGCTCAGAGAGACTTTTAGTGTCCATAGATGACCAAAACAATGTGTGCGTGTGCACGTGCGTGCTCTGAAGTGTGTTTAACCAGTGGACTGAGGTGTTTTTAACCCCTTTTCCCATATTTCATGTGTGTGTAATGAGCTTAATCTAATCTGTCTGCTCCAGTGTTCCCAGATTACAGTAATCTGCTCCATTTGGAGTGGTGTGATATGGGAATAAAAAACGGGGCTTCGGGGCGCCGCAGCCTACATCCCATAATGAGGGATTAGTGTTTGTGTCACCAAGGAGACGACTAGATCAGACGTAGAGTCGCCTTTGGGGCTGGGGATAGGGGGTGTGGGGGCTGTGAATGTGGTGGAAGCTTAGCTCTGCAAAAGGATTGCTTCTTCGTCTTCATCAGCTGTTTCTTCTTTGTTGTCTTCTTCTTCGTCTTCACTTTCTTCACACTAATTCCTTTGCATATATTCATAGATTATTCAGAGTCACGAGTAATGGGCTGCTCCACTTGGATTTTCTTACAATATTAAACAATATTAAGTCTGTCGTGCTGTCGATTAGAAAATAATGAACAGCTGTGCTGCTATTTTCCACCGATATTGGCATATGTAGTTTATAAACCCAGCTTCTGTCTCACTGAGCTGTCCAGTGGCAGCACAGTGGATGCTCAATAGTCTGCTCACAGAACGAAAACCCCACTATGTGTCAGTAAGCCTGGGTAATTGCTCATTTCTATTTTGGTTACCCCATAGACATCCCTGTCATAGGCACCCTGGTCACTCCTCTCTGCAGTTTTCTTTGACTGTGAAGTCAAGGGGACAAAATTGAGACAAATCCAGTAAAACTTTATAAGATGTGTGACGAATGCAGACTGGCCTTAAAATCTGTAATTTTGTCACAGTAATAGTAGATGTACAAAACAGTGGTGTGAAAAATGTGTCATACCGCTGCAATGTATTCTGAGCTCTGTTTCGTGCTCTGGACAGATGTTTCCCCAGTGCGTTTGACAACCTGAAAGCACACGGCAGCAGACTCTGCTAGTCCACGTTTGATTTCACGTGGCCAGAATGTAGCACACTACTTCACATGAGCCTTACTGTATGTTTTTATTTGACTCTTCAATGTGGATGATGTCTGTTAACTCTACTAATAGTTCTTTGGTCATGTGACACAGCAGAGGATCATGTGTCTGCCCTAATCCACCCACTGCCTCGCCCCATTAGCAAATAATCCTGGTTAAAGTTGACCTGGTATGGCCCTCTATAGTCTGTGTTGATTTTTATGTAACACCCCTTCCCCCGCTTTTATCTGTCTGGAGAGGATATCTTCTGACTCTTGCTTTTGTGCTTTTGATCAGTGAAATTCTTTTAGATGGACATGGCAGTAGAAGGAGAGATGACAGACCCCTGCTTATAGTGACATGATAACCTTTAATTTACAATGGGATGGCGCCTAAAGGACTCTATCAACTATATTGCAACTTGTAGCTGCTCCAAGTCATGCACACGTAACATTTTTGCTGACTGTTTTTCAGTGCATGCAGAACAGTTTGAGATTCGATGTATTTCCTCTCCTGTGCCAGGCGGCCATTAGTTTCCATTATTTCTGTGCATTATGGAAATCATTTAGCAGACTCTTGAAACTTGCTTGACTTTGAGCCAAACATTTGCCCCACTAAGTAGTGTAATCCATCACAGTAAGCATCAAGTCTGCATTAATGCTTGTCAATGTGTCATTATGCGGCAGTACAGTTTAAATGCTGATTTATTTGGAAAGCTCTGCATTAATGATAAATATTAAGATAATGTATAACTTTGATATAAATTGACTCCGTGGATTACACAACTCAATTTCAAGAGTCTGCTAATTGGTTTCCATGCTGTATGGAAATTAATGGAAACGTTCTGTTCAAATAACTAGGACTGCAATTAACATTATTTTTATTATTGATTAATCTGCTGATAATATTCCAGATGTTTAGATTAATCATTGGTCTATAAAAAGCCAGAAATGGTTTTAAAAATAAAAAAGGGTCTTACAATTTCATAAATGATTGTTTTGTCAGATCGACACTTCAAAACCTGGAGATATTCAGTTTACTGTCACATAAGACAAAGAAAAGTACAAAAATACTTCACATTTATTGGACACAGGAACATGTTTTGCAGTAGGACTAGCTGTGAGGTAAAATAAATGTAGTCTGAAGTAAATGGGCTAAAACATGCAAAACAACTGAATGTGTTTCTGGCGCACTAAGTCAAACAAAAACTGAAAGCGACCACGTAGCTCTGATATAACCCTGGGATGCACAAAAACCGCACTGCACCGCTTTCTTTCACTCCAAAACCTTTTAACCCTGTGTCACCTCTAACACACACACACTACTGCCACTTCAGCCTACCCCTCGAGTAACCTCGTGGCCTCTGAGGCTGTCCTGTTGTCATGGCAGCGAGCTCATCAGCATTCAGTATGGTCGTTGGACGGTTGGGACCCGGGGAGAGGGACATATTGTTAAAGTTTGTCCTGCTGGTGACTAACACTCCTTTCTCGCATTTACAAGACACCACACACACACGCTCACACACACTCCTTCTCACTCTTTCTCTTTTTTTTAAATCTGTTTGGCTCTCGTCTCTCTTTTTATTTATTTTTTTTTATTTTTTTTTTTAACCTGACTCTGAAATCTACCTACATTCCATTTTAAAAAGGAGAAACTTTGGTGTATTGTTTGTCATTGTGAATGTCCTGATCAGCAGCAGTCAATGTTTCATTTGGGCTTGGGAAATACTATTGTTGGACCTTCTGACATTTTTTAAAATCCGTTAAGTAATGTAAGGGCAATCAATATAAATATATTATTATATACGATAAATATACAGCATATTATGCTCTCTCTCTATTTTTAAATGTAAGGTGGGATGATTTGTGCAGCTCAGCGGCAGAATGTGTGAAGGCCTGATTGTTTAGGCTTTATTATCAAGATGTATGAGGTTGGTGTTAACATGAATAAAATGGTGAAACAGCTCTGAGTTTGTCTTCACTGAACTGTAAAATCCTTACCACATTTTTCTCATTTGGACTGATTTCTGCGCGACATTAACTTAGACATTGGACCCATTTTAACAATTAAAAAACATACTTAAGTGTTTGTATCAGCTTGACACTTTTTATGTAAATTGTATGAGAATTGCTTCTAAACATGACCCTGAGATGATGTTTCAGACGACAGAAAATTAAGATTACTTGTGGTCTCAGAGAGCCCATTTGTAAAATATGGTTAAATACAATGGATTTTCATTATCTCCATTTGTGACTGGTGTTCAGCAGAACTTTTTTTTTCCTCCTATTTCCTCAAAAAGTGTGTACACACATACGCTGCAAGTCCCTAGTATGAAGATCCAGAAGGAACTCTCAAGAGACACAGATACAGAGGTCCTTTATGATTGAAATATGATTATTTATGTAAAATATAAAATATTTACTTATTTTGTGCAATAATTCTGTAGTCTCCTGTATTTTTTTCACCATCCAATGTGCAAGCTCATTTGTATCAAAGGGAATGGTAACCACTTCAAACCACTTTAAATAGTCATATATATAAATATCTGAAGGGAAAATATTGGTTGGTTTTATAATAATAATAATACTGTTTACACATATAGCAGTGAGATGTGTAGGGGGAGTAAAGCCAAATCCACCAACAGACAAAGGTTAAAATAATAAAATCTAAGACAGAAATAGAGGTCTCTTTTATCAGACCCTGCTCGCTGTGTTGGGGGAAAGCTTGGGGCTTTGGTGTTATGCTAATAACATATTTGAATGTGAAATTTCCCCTGACAAAAGGGGGTGAAGATGAGAGGGGGATGGTGCACACAGACACAAGAAGGGGTCTTGGTAAAATTGGACAACCCGCGAGAGTTTGGTGGGCGTGAACATAGAGACGAGGGCTTCCTGCGGGTGGACACGTTTCCGTGTCTGCCTCCCTGCTTGTCTTGTCAGTGTGTGAAGGTTTCCAGCCCTTCTCTCACTCCCCTTTCTTTCCTCCCATACAATACAGCAGACCGTCCTCTTCTTACTCCTTCCCACCCGCACCTCCACCTCCTGCTACACTTTTCCTACGTGTCTTGCGACGCTTCCCGGGACTGTGGACAGCCAGGCCGCGGTCACTTCAACGTGTATCCGCTCACAGAGAGAGAGAGAGAGAGAGAGAAAGTGAAAAGAGTGAGTGCGTGTGCGCGCACCCACCCGCAACCGGTCCACCGTGTTATTTCTCCCACTATCCCCCCTCGTTGTTCGGTCATGACGCTGGAAGCGATCCGTTACCGGGCAGGGTCTCTGCAGATCCTCAACCAGCTGCTGCTGCACACCAGACCGTTACGATGAGATCCGCTCGGTGCAGGACGGTTACGAGGCCATCAAGTCCATGAAGGTAACGGGGCTCCTTCTCTTCTCCACCCCCTTCTCACTACAGGCTTCCTCTCCACTTCCCAGCCGACCTGCGTGCCCGCTGCATGCGCATTTATTCCCGTCGTGCATGTTTTTCTGTCGCGTCTTTTGTGCTCCCACCGCTTCGCGCCTGGTGTTGCCTTATGCTCGCCGCCGTGCTCCCGCTGTCGGCCTGTATTATTGTGATGGCAGCACCGACAGCTACCCACAAGTCCCCGATTGTCTAGCCCTCCAAAACCACCCTTTAAATATAGTTTAAACATTATCATGTGCACGCGCGACAAACCAGGCATCTGCACACAGCTACCCACCCATGAAATATGCCCCCCTCCTCCTCTTTCTTGGGAGAGATTATTGATGAATTATTAATGACCTTTGCCAGGTTTTTTGTTCATGTCTTGGTCTTGTGCTGCACTCATTGACACCTCCAGCTCATTCCTGCCTCCACACCTGAAGCCCTGATATGGAGAGGCGTTCACATAGTTACATGTTGATCAAGTTCTCAAACAGCTTGGGACATTTTCAGATGTTCAGTATTTGGGACTGAGCTGATATTCACTCTTTGTGTCTTCCCAGTTACACACACACTCACACTCTCAAACAGCAGCTACATGTTTGATCCTGTGTGTGTGTGTGTGGTTGTGTGTGTGTGTCAGAGTGAAGGAATGTACTTAAGCAGAGAGGGTGATGTCATGATAATGGAGTCTAATGGTAGAGCAAGAAATGACTCCCAAGACTGATGATATTTTACTGAAAGCTGTCGTGACCCACTTCCAGGCATGTGGTGGAAAGGGATGAATAATCCTCATGAAGTTGGCAGTTAGAAAGAGAGTAGGTCCTGGACGTGATGCTGACTTTCCTCTTCCTTCCTCCAGGTGCGTGGCGCCCGGCCATCGCCATCGTCGGCTGCCTCAGCCTGGCTGTGGAGTGCGGGCAGGTGCTGGGGGTGATGACCCCGTGACCTTCATCAGGGAGTCTCTGTGTCACTGACCTCAGCCCGGCCCACTGCCGTCAACATGGGCCGCGCCGCCCGCGAGCTGATGGAGTTTGCTGAGAATGAGAGCATGGAGAAGAACTCTGAGCAGCTCAGAGAAAGGTGGGGTGTTTAGAGGGAGGCGACAGCCTCAGAGCTAAGGTTGGATGGTCATTTGTGAACCACGTAGCTCTGATATAACCCTGGGATGCAGGGTCAGTGAAGCTCTAAAAAGGATAGAACAACAAGACAGAACAAGACTCACAGATTGCTTCCTAATGTAATTTTAATGTAAGTGATGGGGGGACAAAATTCACAGACCTTGTTCCATGAGAAACTGCATTACAAAGTTTCAGTCAAATAAAACAAGTCAAGTTTTTTGTGACTTTTTTACATGCCAGTGTCCATGGCAGTGTAATTAAGCTTCAGCCAATAACTTAACTGAAGGTACCCTGTTGAGTTTTTGATCACTAGTAGTGCTATGGAGCCTTATTTTTACTTGGGGGTCCCTATTTTCTGTCCTCACGCACAAGGACACACTTACTCCCAATGGTTTCACACTATTCCAGTGTAGAAGAAGACTGACCGGCTTTGCAAAATCTTCTATATGTATTGCATTCGAAAAATATTTGTTAAGCCTCAAGGATACAAATAGTGCATTTTATTACCAGAAACTGTGTTCTCATGAAAACTCACCAGGACGCCTTTAGGCAAATGCACTCTCCGTCGGCAAACAGTGAGCTTAACGGTCTCTTGATGTGTCATATCAGTGATAAAGAAATGAGCTAAACTTGTGCAGTTTTGAAGCCCATTAGCTGCTGCTATGGCACTTCCTCATTAAAACACCAGCTGCAGGAGTGTTTTTGAAAAAGTTGTGAAAGTTATCTGATCACACATAATGTGAAAATTGGAAGCCTGTATACTATACCTGTCTTTGGAGATTAATTGTCAGTGTGAAAAAGAACTGAGTAGAAGGGAAAGAGGGGGAAAAAAAAGCAGAACGTACTGTGTGAGAAGTGTTAGTGTTGTAGATGTTGGCGTTAGTGTTAATGGAAAAATAGCATCCAGGTAGAGAGTGGCTGGCATGCTAGGACACTACATCAGACGCTGGGTCAGGTTGGCCAGATGAGACCAATGCACATGTGAATACAATTTCTTTCTCAATGTCATTATAAAAGTCAGTGTTTCTGATATCCGTTACAGTCATTCAGTCACAGTGGGCACCTGACGCCTTAGCAATCCTGCCCTCGTGTTACTTTACAGTGATTCAAATAAGTTATAAAAAGAGGTTTTAAATTTGGGGAAAAGAAAGCACTGGTGTCGGATCGATATCGACAGATAGTCTGAGTTGAGGGACCAGAATTGATTTTGGGAAAGAAAAAGTTTGATGGTGATTGAAACTACTAGAAATTCCCTTTTCCTCCTCTCAAAGGCAGCACGTTTGGTGCTGGGTGATGAGTCTGTGCAGCAGATGCGGATGGGTCATATTAATGGTTTTCAGTTAATGTTTCACTCTGAATCTCTAAACTGTTACAGGTACTATAAAGAGCATGCATCACTTATATATAACTTAACAGAGTTTGTGCGGACGGGCTGTGGGGTGAAAGACTAAGCTAACCCTAACTCTAACCCACATGGATGATTTTTGGTTCTTGAGACTTGGGGTCGGTTGAACTGTGGACCAGTCTCTAAAAATGTTGTGTAAACTTTGTGAAACAGTGACTATAATTAGAGGCCATGGTGCAAGATAACAGACTGATAAGTATACAAAGACCATTAAGAAAAATAATTTCAATGAGAGAGATACAGTGAAGTCAGGACAAGAAACATGCAAACATATTGTAACTGCAGACTTGATGGACACATCAAGTCCACAGTGGCAGACGGAGCCTCTTCTCAATTCCCACCTCTTGTCCCCACCCACCCACAGTGTAATTGCTTGGATTGAAGATATGCTGGAGCGTGACGTCAATGACAACGAAGATCGGTAAACTATGGAGCCCAGCACATCCTGTCTGGCGTCCCAAGGGACTCTGTCACCATCTCACACACTGCAACACGGCTCGCTGGCCACAGTGGATACGGGACTGCGCTCGGTAAGATGGAGCCGTGGATGGAATGAGGAAAGAGTGTGATTGTTAAAATATTTATGGCACTGTAACTGTAATTATGACTCTGTGTTTGTGTGTAGGTGTGGTGCGAAGCCTCCACACGCTGGGCAGGCTGAAGCGTATGTACTGCACAGAGACGAGGCCGTACAACCAGGGATCCAGACTGACGGCGTACGAGGCGGTAGCAGAGGGAATCCCTGCTACACTTATTACAGACAGCATGGCAGCCCTCACAATGAGAGAAATGGCCATCACAGGTGTGTGTGTTGTGACTCTTTTTTTTTTTTTTTTTTTTTTCTTTCCCCCTGCTGTTCAAACGTTACTCTCTTTACTCTACGCTCATTTTCTTTACTTCTCATCTCAGCTGTGGTGGGGGCGCAGACCGGGTGGTTGCCAACGGTGACACAGCAACAAGGTGGGAACGTACCAGCTGGCCATGCCGCAAAGCACCATGGGATTCCCTTCTATGTGGCTGCGCCCAGCACGTCGTGCGACTTGAGCCTGGAGAGCGGCAGGGACATCATCATCGAAGTGCGCCCCCCTGAGGAACTCACCAGTATAAACGGAGTCCCCATTGCCGCTCCGGGTAAGCAGTGTGGTATGTTTTTGTACGAGGGGGAAAAGTCACAAATGTTGGTCTGAAAGTATAAAATGACAAGAAACTCTTAAAAACAAAAAGTTTAGTAGAGCACTGAGAGCGTCAGGAAAACGTCAGGCTTGTAGAGATGGATGAGGGTGGCCCAGTTCCACTGTCTGCCCTAAACCCTTAGCACTGAACCTTCACAGACTTAATTGAGGTCACATGTAGTGCACGTGCCAAAGAAAAAAAGGTGCAAGGGCTCCAAATGCGTATAAAGAATGAAACAGCACTTTGTGAAATCACATTACCTGTGCAGAGGCATCATTGTGTGGCCAGTAAAGCGTGAGGCTCCGCTACCTCAAAGTGCTTGCTGCTGTCTGCTTGTGAATCACGAGAGGTCTTTCAATGTTTTTTCCACTTTCCCCTGCCATCATTTGCCTTTTGTTGGTTGTTTATGCCTTAATTAGAGGTCATCCAAGCTAGAGGTGTTGCAGTTTGTGGTCAGCACCTTAAACCAATAGGCCATCAGGGTGTCTCCTGTGATTATTTTTACCACTGGAATGCTATGAATTGTGGGCAAGTCTTCCTTGGGGGGACAACGGGACAGTCCTGAGCAGACATATGGGTCAAAGTTTGAGTATGTAAGAGCGGACATTGGAAGTGTGTTTTAGGGTGAGTTTGTTTGAGAAGAATTGAGTCATTTGAACTCTTAATTTAATTACGTTGCCAGAGCAGAGAGGTGCTCAGTGACATCACAGTAATTAAAGCACACTCATTTAATGAGCTCACTGGCCCCTGGAGAGGACGATGTGTGCCTTGTACATTATGTTACTCTCTCCATTTAACTTTCCGCTCACACTCTGGTCTCCTGTAAACAGCCACAATTAAAAGTGCAATTAGAAGGCTGCAATTATTTTACATTTTTCTTCTAGTCAACAATTCCATAAAAGATCAAAACCAGCAATGAATGGATTTTACTAACACGTATTACCTGGTTTTCCTCTGTGCCTTAGCTTCACTGTTGTCTAAAAACTATTAGAATCACATCAACGTGACACACGGTTGCATGGGAGACAGGTTCCTTCATTACAAAGAACAAAGCATTGCAGTTTATTTTGGTCACTTGATATAAACTAACATTGTTAGAGATCTGAATGGGTTATCTTCATAGTTCAAGAACGCAGGGAGATGGATGTTTCAAATGCAGTTTAAATGGTAACTGTATCTGTTCAGCCATCTGAAGTCAAGGAAAACTGTCTTGCCTGTAAATTCAAGGGCATAGGTTTCAAGGAGTAAAACATTAGAAGACCGTAGGGTGATTTCAACATATTGAACATTTGACCTTGAGAAAAAATATTGACAACATTAAAACCTTCAAAAGGTCTCCTTAATGTGTCATGTTAAGAGGATACTGAGCTGAAGGATGTAGTAGTGGATAAACAGTTTAAACTGTTATAGGGTAGATAGGGTTAACCTCCTTTGTGTTGCTGTGCAACACAATGAATTGCGCACCAATTCATTAGGTGGCGCTGTTGCAAAGAACAAGGGTATTAGAAATGCGGTCCCAGACTGCAGGTCCTGAAAATGCTGCCTCCTTTACTGCAGCATATGTATGGGGTGAATTAGCTAAAACATAATGGAAAATTAAACAAACAGAATCAACAGTCAGCTAAAAATAATAATAATAATAAAAATAAATGGTGGTGTTGATGATGATCGGACATAGCTGTGAGGGTACAACTGATTTAAAAAAAAAAAAGAAGAAGAAGAAGGTTTGGAAAACACTGATGTAGTTTATTGCCCACCTTATTTTTTAACTGTCACTCATTCCTAACTTTCACGGCAGGTATTGAGGTGTGGAACCAGCGTTTGACGTTTACCCTCACCAGCTCATCACAGGAGGCATCATCACAGAGCTGGGGGTCTTCCTCCCCTCCGAGCTCCAGGCGGCACT